AAATTATTTTAATATATTAAGTATAATAAATATTTATTATTTTATTAATTATAAATTATTATTAAATTAAATTAAATTAATATTTTTATATAATATTGCGTGACTTCAACAAATTAACATGTGAACACCACACCTGCCTAGATACCCCAACTACCAAGATAAGGTTTAACGCCGCCTATTTCATCAAAAAAATAAAAAACAAACATTTGGGTTTCATAGTCCAACAACTATATGCTTGGTTGTAAGGTAAATCTCTTTTTCTAAAATTTATAATTCGTTAAAAAAATAAAAATAAAAATAAAATAAAATAAATAAATAACAGTTTCATCCTGGTTATTTTCTTCTATTCCAGTTAACATTTTATGACCATGATGATTTGTATCTGGTTTTATAAAAGGAAAATGTTATCCGTGAGTCGAGGAAGTAACTAAAATCTATTGAAGGGAACGGTGGAATCATTTGTGTTCCCAGCTCAATACTCCTTATTTTTTTCCAAAATTATTTGCCAACAAGAGTTCTTATTAGTTGACATTATTGCAATAATTGCTAATATTATAACGTTGTTGTGTATCAGAGGTTAAGGTCCACATTAATTCCAAAATTTTGTGTTGGCCAAAAATGAAAAAAATTCCAAATTTTCGCGTCATGTAGTATGAAAAATCCAAAAACAAATTTGTCCGGACATGAGGGATTGACCTACTCCTACTGGTTAATCAAAAATGAGAATGATAATGAATTAGGCCCAATTTTTTTTTTTTTTTGTACTAAATTTAAGATAACTATTAATCATGGCATGGATCTCAAATAGATCCATATAACTAGTTAAAATACTTTCCTTTAAAATTTTAACTTAAATTTTGGTCATATAAATAATAACTCATCAATTAACAATAAATAAAAATATTAAAAATATAGTTTTTGCAATGCTAAATATTTGATGAAAGACAACTTTTTTATGTCTAGAATAGAGATTCATGAGGAATCTTACCTTTATCTTTTATTTAAGGTGTTAAACCTTGATCATCAAAAATTCAAAATAGAGATAACAATGATCCCAATCTCTTAGGGCTTGTTTGGTTTAGTCAAATTCTGGAAGCAGAACTCAGGGAAGCTGTCCATAAACAGCCATGGCTTAGCTCATGATTTTGTTGTCAGGCCATTAGTAACCAAAGAGTTTTTTTCAATTAATGTCACTAAGATATCGTGATTCTCCTTTAAAAAACCCACGAAGAAAAGTTATGGGATATTCTTCATGGAGAACAGTGCCAAAACCAATTTGGCACGACTTCCGTTGACGAGAGAAGGTGCCAACAAAACACGCCCTTAATTTAGGGGTGTTCATATCCGATCCAATTTGATTGATTTGATTTAAACTAATCCAATTCAATTAAAAATCAAACCAAATCAATGTAAAATTAGGTTGATTTGGATTATAAAAATTTAAAACAAATATAATTGGTTTGGTTTGTGATTTTACTTTCAAACTGCTCGAACTGTCCGATTATAAAAAAAATTCGATTATAAGATAACTTAATTAAATAATATAATATTTTTATAATATTTCAATTTTTTTTATTTTACAAGATAATGACTCTGTTGATTTAATTAAAAATAAAAATAGCATATCTTATATTTCCTAATTTATTTTTTCTTTTTTCTTTAATTATATACCTAAATTTTAATTCTAAATTTCAAATTCCCCTACAATTCTACCTTTATAAGTGAGTTGCAACTTTATTCTTAAAACCATACCTTCTTGAGTGGCGTGCACTTGCCAAGGTTGTCATCTTCATTTTGCTGGGTTGTTGTTTAGGTTGTCGCCTTCATTTTGCTGGGTTGTTGTTTAGGTTGTCGTCTTTATTTTGCTGGGTTTATTCTTAAACACATAATATGGGTGTCGACACCATGGGTTAATAGTCCAGAATCAAACTTTTTGTTTTTTGTTTTATGTTGACACGTAATTCAAGGTGTCAGCACTATACGTTCAGCGTCTAACATTCAAATTTCTTATTCTGTTCAAATCCTACTTCTGTTTCAAATCCTACTTCTGTTTCAAATCCTACTTCTATTCCAATTAGGATTTCTAAAACCTTATAAATACCCATCCAAATTCAAAATTAAAAGAGCTTGAGAGGCTGGTCGTAGCCCTCTTTTGGATATTCTTGGAGATCAAGATAAAGATTTAAGAATTTGTTTATAATTTCTAAATCTTTTCAATTTTTACAATTGTACAAGAGTATAAGAATTTGTTTATAATTTGTACTTTTTTTAATTATGTTTCTATTTATTTGGATATTAACGTATTTTATATTTATGTTTTTTACTTAATGTTAAATTTATTTATATTATCTCATATATTTAATAGTGTTAAAAACCGATCAATCCGACCGAATCACATCAATCCAATTTAAATTGTATTGGTTTGGTTATCATATAATAGTGGATTGGATTGGATTGGTTTAAAAATTTTACTAACCGATTAAATTGGATTAGATTAAAAAATGTTAAAATCCAAACTAAACCACTCCGCAAACACCCTACCTTAATTAATAGTCAAGCCTAAAAAACCTAAGAAGAATTCATTTGTTGCTTTTAGGATGTGCTTGGTTTAAGTATGACCCCAATGAGCCCAAAAACAAATTCCATGGAAGCCGTTCAAAAACAGCCACAGCTAGCCTAAGATTCTCTTCAGTTTACTGAATAAAAGATTGTTTAACTTGACTAAAGGCTTCAAGCTCTAAGTTGGAGGTCTTAGCGTTAGATCTTAAGACAGATTAGAGGAGATTTGGGAAAGGAAAGATGTTTGGGTGAAAAAACTTGAGATTATGAACCATAATATGCAGATTTTGATGTGGGGATTCAGAACTGAAAATGCTGGTTTGTTTGCAGAGGATTTAACTTCCTAGGTGATGCATGAACAAGTGGTTGAAAACTTGAAAGGGAACAAATATTGTTGAATAATAAACATTTCATCTTTATGGAGGATAAAGAGATGCACTTTTTATTTAGACGGTCATTGAGATTAAAATGTTTATTTAAACTACAATTTTTACATAGCTGTTTATATATTTGTGTGCTTATATAATCTTCTAAATTTCATATGTCATTCCCACCCTTAGAATTCTAGTGTGTGGGATTATCAATACTGTCTCTCCTTGCCTAAAGTTTCTCCTAATAAAGCTGTAGAGATAGTTTACAATAATCTTCTTGAATACAGATGATTTTTTCTCAGCTACCACCTCAGCTTCTGCCAAGAGATAGACCACACCTTCATCTTTTGCCTTCTGCAAAAACTGGATCTCCTCATCAACTCCTTGGAGGGGTGCAGAAATGATTTGGCTTGAAGCATTCGACTTGACTGCTCTGAATGACTGAATTGATCCAGAAGAAACTGGAGACAGATTGTTCTGCTGTTGCAATGATTCCTCTGCATAAACGGATGATTTAATGTTTCCATTTGTTTTACCATCATTTCCAAGGAGAATGGAGAGCTGAGGAATTTCTGGCTCAATAGCCGCACCACCTTCAGCAAGATAGTACTCATGGCGGATGAAATCCTTCAAGTGTTCAACTAGTTGGTGCTCAAACACCTCAGTTTCCCCCATAACGTCCATATAGCCATACCTTACCACACAGCGGAACATCCTGTACTCTCTTGGTCCCACCTGTCTGAACATAAACCTCTCCTCCAATGCAACTCTGGTAACTGGAATTTTCTTGATTGAGACAAACACCAGAACTGAATGAATGGAGGGGATTTGGACCACGAAATGAGGAAAAATTGGTGGAATCCCCTGTACAAGCTCAGAGTAAAAAATCCCAATTCCTGGCACCCTGTTTACTGCTGGATTTTCAGCTATTTGTCTAATGAATTCACTAGAGACCTTGTGCTTGAGCTCAAACAAGTATCTCTTCTGGTGCACATAATGCCATGTTGCCATTACTGTCATTAAGACAATGGCCATGCCTACTGGAAGGTAGCCGCCTAGAATAAACTTATGCAAGACAGAGGAGAAAAATATAGCTTCAACTGACCCAAAAATCAGAAAGAAGAGTGCAATCCACCATATGCTTATCTTCCATATAACCAGCATTATCAGAGTAACCATGCATGTAGTAATAAACATTACAGCAGCGACAGTGATTCCTACAGCCAAGTGAATGACAAGTAATTAATTTGTTTTTGTCAATAGTGATTTTAAAAATAGTGCTCAAAATTTTTTGCTTACCATACGCATTGGCAATATTTTGTGGCGTTTTGAAAACAGTAGCCACCATAACGCAAGCAGTCATGAGCAAGTAGTTGATCTCAGGAATATAAACCTGACCTTCATACTTAGCAGAGGTATGAATTACCTTAACTTTTGGGAAACAACCTAAACTTAAGGACTGAGATATGACTGAAAATGTTCCAGATATCATAATTTGGCTGGCAACGATAGAAGCCAAAAGAGCTACTATGTTTTGCGGCCAATATAATGGAGCTGCAAATATCATGAATCTCTTAGAAAATATTTATTGAATGAATGAAAATATTATAATTATAATATCATACAACATTCTAAGTTTATAACATAATATGTCGTTATACAATTGATTTTTTTATTTAGGACTGCATCCATGATATATATTATATGCATTCATTCATTTAGTATTACACCATATTTGTTTAATGTGATATCATAATTGTAAACTTATAGTTTAATATGACATTATTACTATAATATTGCCAATGAAATAAATAGATCAGACTGTACAGCTTGCTTCATGTTTCACAGAATCTTAACTACCTGGAACTGATTTGTAGAACGCATTAGTAACGTCGCCAGGGTGTTTAGTGAGATAGGCAGCTTGTCCTGAATATGCAATTACTAATGAAGGCAAGACAACCAAGGAGAAGCTAATCTGCAGAGTTCCATGTAAATTGTAATCAAATTGGTGAACATTAAAAACACTATACGTACAGCTTCCTTTTGCATTCAATTCTATACATTGGCTAGGCAAACAATCTACCACAAGCAAAAAGAAATCAGGTTGATTTTGTTTGTGACATAATGATTAAGTCTGGTTGTGGCATCTTGTCGCATGCAGGAGTATTAGGAGGAAACATAAAGGAATGTAGCTAGGGTACTTAATTTGCAGTTTTCTTTATGTATTTGAGCTGGCGTAGTTTTCACTTGTAAAGAATTTATGGGCTTTTAATTTGGAGTACTCATTGTACTCTGTTAAATAATTTATTTTTCTTCGCTGTTCATTTAAAAAAAAAGAAAAAAGGATTAAGTTCTCCAGATTGAGTCTTCGCCAAATAGCCTAATAATTAAGTTTTTCGAGTAGTGGAAGAGCCAGAAATATTTTTTAGGGAACTAAGGAAGAAACTTTAATTAAGAAATGAAGTGCATGTATGTAAATGGAAAAGTTGATAAAAATTAAAAAAAAAAATTATTATAAATAATATTTATTAACCTTTAACAATAAATTAATAGTAATTAATGAAAGTAATATAAATGTCATTAATTGAAAGACAAAAGGAACATATATTATGAGTTAGAAAACACTACTAAAAGAAAAGTAAAAGATGAGAAGTGTTATATGAAAGTATTAGAGTAAATAATTTTTCATTCACTTATTATTATTTTTTTTATCTTTCGTATTCTTATTATCTACATTTTCCGCATCTTTCCCATTATCACTTAAAAGTAATATTAGATAATAAAAACAAGTAAAATAATAATAAAATTATTTAGAATAAAGATAATAAAATAAAATTCAGGAGTCAATAAAAATTTAGGGATAATAAAATTATTGGAGTACCCATTATACTTTAATTAATAAAAATTTATTTCCTATTTTTAAAAAATAAAATAAAATTTAAGCATCAAACTTCTAAGTTTTCAAAAGGTTAGGGTAACTGGCCCCCCTTAGCTCCACCAGTGTTTTCGAGTGATGACAAATTGTTGATTCTTATAACACAACCAATTTAGAGACAGAGAGGTAGAGAGAATGGTGATGGAATCTATTTCTTGACTACTTACTTGAATTGCTTGGACATTGAAGTGACCTAGATCAGCAAACATGGCTTCTGCTCCTGTTTCGAAATAACATATATATTTGGCCAATCAAGAACTGTTTTATTCAAAAGCTTAAGCTATTCATAGTGTAAGAGCCCAAACATAATTCCAATCTCTAATATGCCAATAATGCCCAAAAAAAAAAAAAAAACTATGTTGCATTTTGGCTTTAGTTGTCTCACAAAAAAGGTATAATTTGGTCTATTTAGGCTCCATATAATACTATTTTGGTTTGGATTTTTAGTTTTTAAAAAGTATAGTAATGTTTAAATCAAAATTAAAAACCAAAAATTGACAATTTACATGTTCAATAATTTTAAAATTATTTCTATTCTTATTTCGTTAAGAAATATAATAATATTTTGAGAATCATACATGAATTAAAAAAGTTTTCTTTTTTTTTTTTT